GGTCTAGTATTTCTTGTGTCATCCATTGTTATTTTTTTAATCAATTAGTGACACTATATTCTTCTATGATCTTGGTCATATGTTCACGAAATAATTTTCATATTATCTCAACATTTTCAGTTGTTTTCATTTCCTTCATATAATTGTTAACATAATTTTGGTTACAACAGCAATTTTACTAAGATGTAAATTGGAGCTGGAAGGTCAGATAATAGAACAAGTGATTGAGTTTAAATATCTAGGCATCACATTATCTAGCTACGGAAAGCTCGAAACCGAAGTGGAAGATCAAGTGAATAGAGCAAACAGAGCTGCAGGCTGCCTAAATGAAACAACATGGAGAAATAAAAATATCAGGAAAGAAACGGAAAGGCAGAATTTTACAAAACAGTCATCACACCAATAATGACATATACGGCAGAAACAAGACCTGACAGAGAGAACAAAAAGGATGTTAGAAGCAGCAGAGATGAAAAAATTTAGAAAAATTGATGGTAAGACACTATGGGACAGAGCTATAAGTACAGATATACGACGTACATGCAAGGTGAAGAACATTAAGAACTGGGTAAGGAATAGAAAGAGTAGAATGGAACGATCATATAAGCCGAATGACAACAAACAGAGTGTTAAAGACGGCAAGAGACGGTTTTGCAATAGGGAGCCGATTAGTAGGTAAACCACGAAAACGATGGAACGACAACTTATTGGAGGAACATTAAAAAACACACAGAGTCATGTCTATTTAAAAAGACGAAGAATAAGAATTTACACGATCTTTATTAACATACACAAAGTAAGCAAGAATTGTCTATGTATTACAAAATAAAGTAAAATATCAAATCGGAATAAAAAATAAATACTAGTACTCCTTGTAGTTTTTACTTATATTTATTAATGTTTTGCTAACACAATTTGATGACTGAATCTACTACTGCTTACATGTCGCAGGTCAATATTTCTTATTGATGTTGAATTTGGGCTCGAATGAAATTGAACTTTAAAATAATTTCGTCCCAGAGAAGAATTTAAATTCTAGAGAGAACTTGGTCTCAGAAAAGAACTATAACTGTATGATGGTAAACTAGGAAATATAATTTACTCGGAAAACTAACAAACACATGTTTCATACTTTATAGATAGAATCAGGTTAAAACGTTCTCCGACGTCTTCCATTTCCTGTTTCAATTCCTCTCCCTCTCTTCCTATAAGTTGACGTCTATTTCTTTTCCTCTATTCTCTCCAACTTAGTTTAGGTAGTCTCTCCTCATTTTACCTTGTGATGTCCAATGTCGTACCTGTTACCTTAGTTTACCATACCATCGTAGTTGGTTTTTTCTAACGTCTTCGGATTGTATGCCTAATATTCATAATTTCTCGAATTCTATAATTCCTAACCCCATCTAATCTTAATTCATTTTGGTTGCCTCTACGGTTTAAACAAAATTATAAAAAATTTACTCCAATAAATGGCAGATATAAAAAAACATAATACTATTTCCGTACTTATCGGCAGTCAGAGCATCTCCTAAGGGGATGGTACAATTTTGTTTGGGACTTCGCGAGACATTCCGGCCCTTGTCATTAGGAAGGTCAAAAACCATTCCAATAATGTAATGCAGTCTCATGTTTTGTCGCAGTTTTTTCGTATTATCAATCTTAAAATGGGAAATCTTCAGTCGAAGTCGAACTCGGTCGGCCTTTAGCCGATTTAAAAATTGGAAAACAAAGTGGAAGGGGACAAAAACTTCGCTGTCGTAAGTTTAATAAAACTATTTATGATAAAAATAGCTGGTTGTGAACAAACTAATAAACTGTTTTGTTTTATATGCATTTTGTTTGGAGGTGACGGGATTTGGACAAACAAAGGCACCGATGATCTTGTTCATATATGGGAGAAAATGAAATCCCATGAAAAATCTAAAGTGCACATAAATAATGTTTTTAGCTTTTCAATGCTTGGTAAGTTAAGTATAGTTAAATATAAAAACCCAATTAAATTCAGCTTCTCGTGATATTCTAATTAAACACAATGAACAGGTGGATAAGAATAGATATGTCTTGAATCAAATCTAAAATCAAAGAAACTATACAACTTTTAAGTATATTAATTACCATTCCTATGTCAACATCTCAAGCAGAACGTTGTTTTTCGATGATAAAACGAATTAAAACATCCCTCAGAAATACCATGAAGAGAGAACGACTATGCTATCTTCGGAAAAACATTTTGTAAATGGCATTGATAATTTCAATAATAAAGTGAAAAGTGATTGAAAACTATGCAACCAAAAACAAAGAAGGATGGACTTCATATATCAGTCGCCTAGATTCAAAACCCGACAAGTCCAGGTAAATGAGATTTGAGATAATAAAGAAAAACTGAAGAAAAAAAAAACTTTCAAAAACAGGTAAATAATGATCAAAAAAGGAATTATGGTAATTAGACCATTTATTTATAAGAAATTTCTAAGAAATCTAAAATACGTTTAGTTTTTCATATCGAATGTTAACAGTGGGAAGTTTTTTCCTTAGAAAATTTTTCTATTCATTAGAAATCAGATTTTCATCTGATTTCTAATTATTACTCAAGTAAATTTCAATAATTTTTTTCATTTACGGAAATAATCAACAATATTTAATCAATGATTACATTATATTGTTTTGTCTATAAAAATTAAATTTGCCAAAACGTGAATAAAACTGGAATTACTGGTATACTTGTATTTTTAAAACACTGTAACGTTATGCAATCATGATTGATAATTGAAAGTCATACGAAGCCAAAATATTAATTTCTATTCTTTCGGAGTAAACGGCGATGTGATTCCAAAGCGTCTACTAAAACTTATGTTTGATTCCAATACAAATTTGCAATTATGCGAACGTCTCTGCCATCCAAACCAATGTTTCTTAGAAGTTCGATTAATATAGAGTACTTAATACGATCAAATGCCTTTCGGAAGTCAGAAATAAAAAAAATCATGGGTGTACAACAGTACGCCCAACGAAAATATGTAATCCACCATTTTGTTGGCGGCCATTTTGGATTTTCTATTCTCTAACTCTTTTCTACTAGTCAAGCAATTTCATTTGATACCCATAAGTAGTTGTGAAAAAATATGTAATTCGCTATTTTGTAGCGGCGTCCATCTTGGATATACAGTGATACTGATTGTATGTAGTTTATGTATAGTCGGTTCGCTAATCTCAGACATAACTGTCTAGTAATTTAATTAATTATTTTTTGCGAAAGTTAGTTACATTTTAGTAGACTAGAAGTGGATGACAATTACTATATTTATAACTAAGCACACATGCTCATAGCCAATATTAAGAGTAAACAAACATAAATCTTACTCCAATCAATAATTATTTATTTACATCATAATATAATTACACAACAGACAACGGAAGATGTGACCAATTATTTAAAGGTAAATGCTCCAAATATACATTTCTACTGCAAAAAGTTAAATGTTACGGAGTACCAAGCAAGCTTTAATGTTTCATATCCATTGGATTATAAAAATGAAGTTCTTAATCCCAGCATCTGGCCTGAATGTTCAATGGTTCGTCGTTTTGACTTTAAGTACAAGAATTGTACTAACCGCAGTTAACAACAAAACCAGTAATAATTGTTACAAATCCGGCTTAGCAAACTAGATACTACAAATAATTTTAAAGGCAATATCAATCAACTAAAAATCGTATGTATTAACTCTGAATCTATTGTACACAAAATAAATTGTATCGAATTATTACTTAAAACTGAAAGTCTGGATTTACTATGTATATCCGAATCATGGTGTGATGACAATAATATAAATTCTTTTTATCTTCCTAATGCTCTCTTGTAATGATTCGTAATACTTTTTTGATTATTTTTTAGGTTATTACATTTTTATATCTATAGAACTATACTCGTACAATACTTCTTGGTTTTTATTCGTTTACTCCGATATTCAACTTTAAAGGAAAAATGTAATTTTGATAGGTTTCCAAATCGATTGATTAACAATCGATTTCAACATAAAGTTTCTTGTTGTCGATCACAAACATTTGTCACCCAAAGGGAATTGGAACTTTCAGAGTTTGTGAAATTTCCGTGGCAGTTACAATGGCTTTGTTATTTTTCGATTATATTACGAAATATAATTTATTAGGAAATTCCACGACGAACAAATTATATCTTGTATACAACAATGGCAACATCAGGATAAACAAAAAAGTATTTTCATCTAAGGTTCCATCAATACGATTTTCACCATTACTTTGCGTTATGCGATGTATTTAATCATTTAACGTAGTTATTTTGTACTTAAGTTCAAAAATTATTAAACAATACCAATTTCTAGACACGTTTCCACGTAAGTTATGACATGGATTCATTTAAGTACTTATAAAAAAATTAGTGCTTTCTTTGGAAACTTTAACTAGATATCATTAAAATAGAAAGTGTACAGTTTACGTACATAATCATAAGTTGAGGACTTGTTTTAAAATAGTGACGATGACTGAGCCTAGAAAGTATATAAATTTTAACATTGTGACATACCACCTTAAGATGTGTTCACTTACCATAGCTTCTAATAAAAACTTAATAACTTGCACAAAACAATTCAATATTTACACATTTTGCAGACACGTGTTGACTTACGATGTTGTGTGTATAAACATGTGAGATACGAGGTTTCTGAATTCGGTTGACGCAGGTGTAATTTTACACGCTTTGAGATAAGAGGTTTTCCAACCGATACAGCTCGTATTCCTAATGTAGGCAACCTAAAAAAAAAAACACAAAACCTTCGAAAATTGAGATACGAGGTTTTGACATCTTAGCGACGATTTAATTGCTGGGTAAATAGTGTCCGTACACGGATACTTGACGATTTACTCTCCCTATACTAATTGATTAAGTTCTTTGTGTTTTGCATTCTTTATAATACATTTGTACTCATGTGACATTTTCGAAAAAAGATTTATCGCTTGTAAATAAAATATTTGGGAGAAAAATTTAGAAATGGTATATTGGAAATTGGACGATTTTCAAACAAACACGCAAAACCACCAAGATTCCATCGACTGAATAACTTTTGATTAGTTATTTTTTTCTCTACATATATTACGAACATTTATCTGTATATAACTTGGTACACTCCATGAAATTAAACAACTTTTCTTATGAAACGAATCTTTACATGAATCACATAATTACATAGAAAAAATGGAACCAATAACTTATTCTTATATCTAATTTGCAGACAATACGTAGTTATTCCTTTCATTTCTTGCTGATTACCAAAAATAAACGAAAAAACATATTGTTACATCGGTTTTTACACGAGTTGTTGGTATTAAGAAGTTAACAGAGACAGCAGATAGAAAGAGACGACTAGAATCGCAAACAAAAACTAGTGATAAATAAGTAAATAGTACACAAATGACATATTAGAGAAAAAGCCTTCCAGGAATCCCGGATAAACAAAAGACAAAAACTACTTGTGATACCTACAATATACCAGAAATGCGTCATTATATAGAAGAATAAATCAGATACACGGCTAAATAGACCGATCCTATCCATGTAATTAGTATATACAGTTTACTTCTTTACTTTCTTGATGCAACTTTTTGCAAAACTATTTTTATAATCATAAAATAAATGCCATTCTAAAGATACACAAAACTATCATACACTGCATTTAAATTATTTTAGAATTAAAAACAAGCACGAAAATTAAAGGAATATCTGCGTATAAGCTTAAAAATCAATAAATTACAAATAATAGTACTGGTAGTCCACTAGTTAGATAAATACAGACGATGGTAGTCGTTAGCCCCAAAAGCACAATTACATTTAGGACATTTCCTCTGCCTTGTTTCATATCTAGTTTTAAGACAATCATAGCAGAATACATGGAAACATTTAGATAGTACGGCGTCTTTCCTCTTGACCTTGCAGGAGGGACACGTGAGAGTTTCTTTGTATTCACGGATTTCTTCCATCATGACTTCGTCCAACGTGGTGCCGGCCAATTCCATCTTCTTCATTCTTTCTGCCTTTCGTTTTAGTTGGGCTATTTCTTCTTGAAGGCGTTTGGTTTTGTAAGCTTCAGCTTCTAGCGAACTTGTTTTTTCGGCTACTACTTTGTTGCGCTTCTTTCATTTGGGAATGATATTTTTCTGAAAGAAAAATTAGAGAAATTAGAAAAACAATTTGTCTAAATATTATTAATCCTAGAACACCAGATAAAATGTGAAATTGTAAAAAGGTTACAAGGGTAAAAAGAGTTATAATCGCCTCGTATTTCGGTGAGACTGTATAAAAATATATTTATCTGTAAGAAAATCACGCAACAAAAATTAAAAGAAAACTACTCTACCAGGAGTAGTTATTAACTGCAAAATTATCAATGACTGAGATGTATAATAATACAAAGTTATAATATTCTTATCGATATTTACATTCCGATGTGCCTGGTATTATATTTGAAAATATGGGCAGTCACCCAGTTGAAGTTTTCATCGAACTGTTGATCAGCCCACGTGGACTAAGAGCCAATGAAAACATCGCATATCGCTATTAAGACAAATCACAATGAATTACCTTGTATCGGTAAACTTATGCATTCTTGGGTAAGATAACAATATTTGCCTGAGCGACCGAAACCACTACTACTAAAATTTTTTTTTTTTTGGGAGGTGAGAATCTTCAAAAGACCGTCTGGGAAGGTGTCCCAGGTGTGTCGGATTCAGTCCGGCACGCTTCACCGCGTGCTGAGACCGCCTACCGACTAAACTCACCCCCTCTTTCTCCAACCGACGGGTCTGGAACCGCACTTAGCGTGCATGTCTGACCCGCCGACCTTACTCTTAACTCCCCTCTGGCACTTTTCGCGTGCATTCCATTGGTTTGGCGGCCACCTATCCTCCCCCTCCGCAAAAGCCTCGCGCCAGACTGGTCGGTGAAGCGACCGTCCAGCGCAAGTCATTCGCGGTTCGGGCGACCAGGATGCCCTCCCTCCATGATGGAACTAGCAAGACAGAACCAGTTGGCAGTTACGAGCAACGCCAAACATTCTTCCTTTCATCAATTCATTCATTCAATACACACATTCGTTCAAAACTCAACATTTAAAACAAGGAGGCAGTCGGCTTAGGTTAGGTGTAAAGGGTCCTCCCCCGCTAAACTGCCCCAGGACGTATACGGGTAGAACAAGGAAAACATAAATCAAAACATAAACAAAACAAGAAACACAAGAGGCACTCAGTCTGAGTCGGGTGTAAAAGTCCTTTCTTTACTGAATGTCTCTTAAGACGTGCACAAATAAAATTATAGTAAAAACGGTAAAATGTATAAATAAAATTGGTAAATAAATAAATAAATAAATAGATAAATAGATAAAACAGAATAAATAAAATAAAATAAAATAAAATAAGGACAGTCAACGTAGTTTGGATGTAAAGGGTCCTCCCCCGCTGACTGCCTTACGTGACATAAACACGTTTAAAAAATAAATAGTAACGATCGGTCATCCCGCTTGCAAACGCCTCTCTTTCTCCTCTTTGTGTTTGATTGTCTTAGTAACAAAAGCAATGACCAGGTCGAAGTCTCTCTTGCTATCGATAACTTTATCGATTAACTCGTGAGGCTCGCCTAGAGAATACCCAAGACCCAGCTGTAGCTCGGTGCGCCCCGCATGATATTCAGGGCAAACGAACACAACATGCTGCGCGTCATCCACCACTCCACACTCGGGACATAGATCGTCCGCGGTCTTTCCTATACGGTGGGTAAATTTCCTGAACGATCCATGCCCGTCAAGAACTGTGTAAAGTAGTAGTTGACGCGCCGATGCCGGCATTCGTACCACCTCACCACATCTGGAATCAGGTATCTCGTCCAGGCCGCCTTCCCGACTTCGGCTGTCCATTCCCTCTGCCACGTCTGTAGACTTCTCGCCCTTTCCTGTGGTCCTGAACCTATTGCTCCATTGCCCCTTCGGTACATTCGGACTCTTTCTCCGGCCAGAATATGCACCGGTACAGAACCAGCCACCACCTGTAAGGCAATGGTTGATACAGTTCTGTACGCGCTGCACACTCTGATCAGAGGTTTTCTTTGAGCCCTAAGAAGCATGTCTTTATACTTTGTCATTCGAAGGACCTCGTGCCATACTGGGGCACCGTATAACACTATGGACAGGATTGATTGTAACATCACCGTCCTTTTTTGGGATCCCGGTCCTCCTATATTAGATATCTACGCTAGTGTTCAGTAAACTACAGATCACTCTAACGTTGTTGCAATTTTGCTAGTATTTTACTCGCTCTTGTTCCTATAAATTTTCCAACGAAATTACGTGCTGACTATACACAAGGTCCATTCTTATATTTACAATATTTTGAAAATTATTTTAAATTAATAACATTAATTATATATTAAATCACTAAACACAGGAAAATTACGATCACATATTTTTTTCATAACCTAATCGATTAATTAAATATATTATAGGTAAAAGCGTTAATGAGTTAGACCAGAGAAGTAATGATTTTCCCAAGAAACTCTTTGATACGGGTATCTAACGATTGATTTTAATAAATTTTATGATAATAAAATCTAATAAACAATATATGCAAAATATTAAACGTCATTTTTTACTTATAAATAATATATAAACAATGTAAGATCGCTATTTGATTTGACTAAGGTGAATATCCATAAATTATATGGAATAGTGATACAATTTTACTAAAGAAGCATAGAAAATTTTTTAATATTTGTTGCTTAATTATGGCAAAAATAGTAAGTTCATAATAGTAGGTTCAAAAGTAATTTTTTTGAATATTAGTAGTAACATTTTCAAAAATGCACAAAAAACTCTAATTTCGCGTGGGCATGGAGACAATATCACAAATAATATTCAGCTATAAAAGTTTCTAGTAGTTTCACTTATTAGTTAGTTATTAGAAATTGTTATTCCGGAAAGCTTTTATATACAACGTTGTTATGCGTAAACAATTGGGTTTGCATAAATTCTGAAAGCACCAAATTGAAGAGAAAGGCTTATTTTATCACATTAAATCATTTAATGGTTAAAAAATTGTGCTATTGTAAAATGAGTTGAAAACCAATAAACGTTTAAAATAACTCAGAGGCATCAATATGTAGGAAGTTAATTTTTTTATTCGAAATTGCAAATATCCTTCTATCCTTAAAAATCGAGTGAGTCCATTTTTTTTAAAACTTGACCGGGGCCTTGCTTATAAACATGAAATTTAGAAAGCACCATTTGCAAGATTAAAAATTCAAGTTTTGACAAAAACAAATTTCCCTTTAAAAATGATCCGTCCATGATGCGCCAAAGTTGAAGGGTTTAAAAGCGAAGCGATTTGCATTCTGTCGATTTTACTATTTCAAAAACTGAATTCATAACTTTTTTAAAGTCGCAATATCTCCCGTTCTAATCAACGAAAATTAGTGTTTTTCTTTAATTTGGAGTAACTCGTTGCATATATTATAAAAATGCAATTAGTTAATTTGTTAATTGTTTATTTAAGCAAGTAATTTGTTTAAACATTATAAAATAAATATTTATTTTGCAAAATTTTACTTTTCTCTAATTTCTATTAGTAGAAAAGGTTATGAAATCATAGGTGGCTTAAAATATTTATATATTATAGTTATGCATAAGTTAGTTATGCATCTTTTAACCATAAATTTTATATTTTATTATATTCATCAGAATCAAATTCAAACAGAAAAATCGAGGTGAAAACCTATATAAACTCAGCGACAGCTTTAATCTTCACAAGAAAATTAAGGAAATTGCTGGTGTCTTCAAGAAAAAAACAAGTCACTGGTATACATAATGACCAAAATGAACTAATAACGGACCCTTGCGATATACTTAATACTTGGAAAATGTACACAGCCAATTTGTTCAATGATGACAGAACACAAAAACCACCACAACAGGGAGACCATTTGTATGGCCCAAGTATTTTGAAAGCTGAAATTGTACACGCTATCAAACTATTAAAAAGTAAAAAAACCCCAGGACCAGATGATATGTACGCAGAAACAATCAAGTTACTTAATGAAGAAAACCTAGACATTATTGTCAAGCTCTTTAACGACATCTACGCATATGGGCCAGATTCCAAAAGATTTGCTTCGATCTACATTTATCGCCCTACCAAAAACACCACGTGCAAACTTCTGCAAGGACCACCGACTAATAAGCCTAATGAGTCACTTTTTAAAACTTTTCCTGAGAATACTTCACACTAGATTGTTTAAGAAATGTGAAGAGGTCAGTGGATGGAGTCAGTTTCTTCTTCTTAGGATGCCTGTCCGTTCCGAACGTTGGCGATCATTCTGGCTATGATCATTTTGTTGGTTGGTATACGAAATAGTTGTGTTGAGGCTTTCTATACCATGCTCTCAGGTTAGCAAGCCAGGATATTCTTCTTCGTCCTGGGGCTCTTTTACCCTGCAAAAT